GTGAAGCTACGATCTTGGAAATGACGAAGAAGGAGGTTGTCAGCGGATTGAAGATCGACAAGAGCGGTCCTGTCAGTTCACATGCGTGTCTACCATGCATTCATGGAAAAACAGTTCGAATGACGTACCGGGAGCGACTTTGGCATGCTGAGAAACCGCTTCAGCGTCTTCAAGTTGATGTCTGCACCGTTAACGAGACAAGTATTGACGGTAGTACCTCGTTTCTACTGGTTGTGGACGAATTTTCTCGGTGCAAGTGGATTTTCCTTCTACGGCACAAGAGTGAAGCGAAGCAACACATTATTGCACTTATCAACTGACTGCACAACAAGTTTCGTGATCACAAGTTTCGAGTAGAAGAAATTCACTCTGATCAAGGAGGCGAATTTGAGAACGACTGTCTTGAAGACTTCAGTAATCAGCAAGGCATCGCGCTTTCAACCACAAATGGATACACACCACAGGAAAACGGTGTCGTCGAGCGAACGAATGGCATCGTTCTACCAAAGGTTAGAGCTCTTTTGCATATGGCTAATTTACCAGAGTTACTGTGGGGAGAAGCAGCACTTCACGTGGTGTATACACTGAATGTGACAGCAACGCGAGTGCTGAGTGGTATGACTCCACATGAGAAACTAAGTGGTGAAAAACCTGACGTATCGTGCCTGAGAAATCGGGGGAAGTATCTGTTACTACCATATTGCCAGTGGATCGCGCTCAAAGAAGAAGAAGTTGTCTTCAAGAGTGGGTACTTCCATCCTGATTGGTTATTCTCCAAAGACTCACGGCTACAAAGTTCTGGATTTATCGACTGGATCAGTATCAACTCATCGAGGTGGAAATTTGGTGTTTGCAGAAGACTACACCGTTGGTCGTTCGTACGTGGAGTTACTGTTGGCAAATGCATATCAGCATGGAGATCATGACCTTCCCTCTCGAGCATCTCTAGTTCCTATGCTGATGCAGATTGATGACGTGGTTAAGTTAGATGCTGTCAACGAGAGTGTGTTAGTACAGCCTGCGACAACTGACCAAGTTTTGCAGGTACCACAGCCCTCTATCGGAAAAGATCAAGACTTGTGAATTCCAGTCGCTCTGTAGCAGTACCGGTTTCTCAAGACACTACTTCAGGTGAAAGTGATACAGTCGGAAGACATCCTGTCTCGAGTTTCGGTCGAAAAAGAAAGCGGAGCTCTCCGCTGGACAATTGTGAAATGCACTATACGAACAAGTTGGTTAAAGCTCTACTGTGCTCACTTAAACAGCCTAAAACTCATCAGCTGCACTCACGTGATGTACCGATACCGGCGACGTACAAACAAGCTATTCGTTCCGAATATGCAGCTCATTGGCAAGCGGCAATGGAAGAGGAGCTGGATTCGTTGCGGCAACATGGTGTGTGGCAGGTGGTCAGCAGAGCTAAAGCTGGGAAAGCTGTGGTGATAACAAACAAGTGGGTATTTGCAGTGAAGAAGGACGAGCTTGGTTTTGTGAAGCGATTTAAAGCTCGACTCGTCATTCACGGCTTCAAACAGAAATTCGGTGTGAACTACAATGAGACTTTTGCGCCGGTCATCCGTTTCGACACGATCCGAGTGGCGATTTACTTTGCGGTACAACGAGGTTGGGAAATTTTGCAGTATGACGTGAAAACAACTTTTCTACATGGCAAGTTGTCCGAGTTGGTCTTCATGGAGCTCCCTCAAGGCAGTGGTTTTCCAGGAAACCAGCAAATTTGTCAGTTGATTAAGTCTCTGTATGGTCTTAAGCAAGCTCCACATGTCTGGAACAAGACGCTGCATCGACACTTAGTAGCCCTCGAATTTGTGCGACTCGAGAATGACCATGGCCTCTACGCTCTCCACGAGAAGGGGGAGATAGTGATGCTCCTCACTGTCTACGTCGATGACTTACTTCTGATGGGCGAGAAGAAGTACTGTGAAGAAATTGCCCGAAAACTAGCCTCAAGTTTCGAGTTGGTGGCCCTGGGACCCGTTAAGTATCTTCTCGGAGTTGAAGTTACAGTTGATCGAGAGCAGAAACTGGTGTTCTTCAGTCAAGCAAGCTACATTGACGAAGTTTTACGCAGGTTTCACATGCACGACTGTCGTGGAATTTCTACACCTGAGTCGACAACACCTGATACCGAAGAAGCTGATGATGAGGTCGGTGATACTGACAACCTGCCGTATCGTGAAGTGGTAGGAGCACTCCAGTATCTCGTGTCGGGCTCAAGGCCAGACATTGCTCACGTCGTGCGTCGATTGGGGCAGTACATGTCTTGTTTTGGAGCAGTTCACTACGGAAAAGCAAAACGGGTACTCCGGTACTTACAAGCAACCAAGGACTTTGGACTGAACATGATGGTGAAGAGCTCAGACAAGCTGGATTTGCAGTGGCTGGATGCGTACAGTGATGCCGACTACGCTAACGACAAAAGTGATCGCCAGTCGGTGAGCGGGTATGTCAGTATGATTAATGGCAGTGCAGTTTCTTACGGTTCCCGCAAGCAAGGTCTCAACGCCCAGAGTACAATGGAAGCCGAGTACGTTGCGATGAACGAGGGCGCCAGAGACATCATGTGGCTTCGTGGTCTGTGTGACGAGTTGGAGTGGAAGTACAACACCCCAACACTCTGGTGCGATAACATGGCTGCCATCGCCTTAGCAAAGAAGCAAGGCAAGCACAATAGAAGTAAACACATTGAGAACCGATTTCACTATGTTCGGAATCTGGAGGATCGTGAGCGATTGTGTGTGAAGCACTGCGGCACTGATCACATGATTGCAGATATTTTGACGAAGCCTCTTGCACGAGTGAAGTTCCAGTATTTTCGTTCCCTACTTGGGGTTGGACGTTGTGGTGAACAAGGGGGAGAAACACCCGAAATCCTGTCACGACCGGATAACGCAGCAGCAGTGTGGATGCTGATCGGCTAGAGTTGAAGGTGATGTTCATCTGTAGACGAAGATTTGCAGTGTGCAAGATCTGTCCTCGCGAGATTATTTCCTGCGATGTTCGCACCTGTGCTCGTAATTGCTGAAGTGCAAGACTCCGCGATGTTCGTAGTTCATGTCCACGAGGTTCGTGTGATTGCGGTGAGGTTCATCAGTTGAAGTGACGGTCACGTACAAGCGAAAAATACTCGAGTTGAAAGTGGTTACGAAGTTCGTAAGTCCTGAGCGACGTGAGCAAGGGGGAGTGTCGGAGATTCTCTCTCTGGTGTCTTATGCCAACGTCCTCAGTTACATAGTTGAAGGATC